AGGTGATAGGTCAAGGGGCCGGGGGGGTCGAGGGTGGTGGAGCGCTGCCCTGGGGCTGTGGGTTCAAGTCCTGGTGCCAGCAGCGCGTTGCTTTTAACGGCGGGGCAGGCCCCGGTGACTGTTTGCCTGCAGGGCGGCGGGCGAGGCGAGTCAAGAGGGGCGCGGGAAGGGGTGCTGCCAGGCTGGCCCTTTACGGCTGGGTGGTTTGGGATGCTGCCAGCGGCAGGGGCTGCGGGTTCAAGTCCCTGGTTGGTTTGAGTCCCTTGGCCGCCATCTACTACGCAACTGTTTCCCCCTCTGGCGCTTGCCTCCTAGCTGGAACTCAGGGGTGATCGCAGTTGCAAGTCAGAGGGGACTTGAGGTTGTAGCCCACTTGGATCTGTCCTGAACTACCTGGCTGCCTACTGGGTTTTTTTTGGCCTTGGTTTAGAAACCAGGAAAACCCTGGGCTTCAAAGTGCAAAAAAAAACCCCTTGGTCAACCTGGGGGGCACATGCTGAGACTTTCTCTCCCAGGCCTCCCCCACTGACCACCCCAGCACAGCCTCCTTGTGTGCACCTAGTCACAGGCACCAGGGACTCACTGAGAGGCAAGGGGTCCAAGGGCCCCAGCCAGGGCAGGGATTGAACTCATCACCTTTGGTAGCACCTTTACCACTGGAGTACCAGGGAAGGCTAAGAGTTGCTCTGGCCGTGGGCCCCTTCAGGCGCAGCGGCCAGGCCCTGGCGCAGAAAGAGGACAGCGCCTTCCCGCAACACAGGGAGAGGCCACGACTTGAACCCAGGTCCTCAGCACCTGCACCAAGGGGCCCAGCACTGTGCACCACAGCCCTGGCTGGACCTGCCCCTCACTTCTGGGCCCCTTGACTCTGTCCCTGCACGCACACACTGGCCCCACAACAAGGGGAGCCCCAGGAAGGCAGTGCACCCAGGAAGGCTCATGGCCTGGTGGTCAAGGCTCCATGTTTTTCAGGCACGGCCTGTGGGATTGACTTTGCACAGGGCCAGCGTCCTCTGGGCCCAGCTTTCACTCTTGCTTTGCCCAGCCACTGTAGGCCAAGGGCAATCATATTTGCCATGATGGGGAGGACTTGTTCCAGCTCAAGTCTAGAGATGTCGGTTTGGAGGCCAGGAGGTCTGCTTTTGTTTGCGGCCACAGGAGCTGCCTGGGCAAAGCAAGGCCGTGTGGCATGTCCCCCCAGGCTGCAGGGACCCATCTTCTCTGGCTGCTCAGTAGGGACCACTGCGGGGTCCTAGCTCCCAGGCGAGCCCAGCCAAGGGGGTGCAGAAAAGAGGGGCTCAGAGGCCCCCAGGCACAAGGGAATCCGGACCCCCAGCCTGTGCTTCGCAGCACCGTCCCCCGGCCCCCCAGCTCTGGGGGAGACCTGGGGCTGGGGGGCAGCAGCAGCCTTGGGCTGCGCTCTGGGAGCTGAACAGCCGTGTCCTGCAAAGCACGGTTATGTAGGGACCCAGGGAAGGCCACCTGCCCCAATACCCTCCCCGGGGCCTGGCTCAGACCAAGGTCAAGCTGCGGAGCTGCCTCCAGGGCCCCAAAAGGCAAAGGGCCATGAGCCGGGTGGCCACTGGGCAAAACCTAGACCAGCACCCCAGCGCCTGCTGTCCTTGGGGAGGGGTTCCAACGCTGCACCCAGGAGGCCACTCACTGCCCCCATGAGCTTATGCCAGGCGAAGGTGCACAGGAGCTGCGGAGGGGGCAGGCCAGCAGCCCCCACTGTGGTACAGCCCCCTTCCCTCTGCGCTGGGAGCAGAGTGTTGTTCTGGCTGTGGGGGGACCTCCGAGCCTAGGGGACCAGTGCTCCGCACCCAGGGGCTGCACACAAGCTCCTCTGCCCCCCTGGCAGGGCCCCTGCCCGGTGCTGGATCACGACCACCCCTGGGCGCGGGCTGAAGGCAGACCCGCCTGCAGCACCCCCGCTGCCAGGAGAAGCCTGACTGCTGCAGGCAGCAGCTCTCTCCCACCGCCTTTCCCCCGCAGCCCTGTAATGCAATCTCCACAGCACGCCTCCAGGGTGCGCACAGGGAAGTGACTCCCGGTTGGGCCCGGCTGCCTTAGTGGTCAGAACCCCCAAGAAACAGCCGGTGTCTTTTGGCCCGGCTGCTCCAAAAGAGAACCCAGAGCTATTAGCCTTTCCCCGGGGAGCAGAAAGAATTAATCCAAGTTATTTAAAGATGCTGCACGTTTGCCAAGGGGACGACAAAAGGGGGCTTATAATAGTTGCAGCGAAGCAGCAGAGCCTGGGACTGTGACCTCGGGAGATGTGAATGCTGACGTGACTGGACTGCGCTCTGGCACCGTGCAGCCAGGCACCAGAACATGCTTGAATCAAGCTGGAGCAATGCATGCTGGGACATGAGGGTGCCTTCAAGGGGTGCAAAGCATGCTGGGAGACGCTGCCTCCATGGCACTGGACCAGACCTGTGGACATCTCCAAAAGGCCGGAGCAGGCTGCACCAGCTATCCTGCACCAGCAGTGTATGCTGGGATATGCCACACCCACACACACAGAGGTTCAGCTTTGTCCCTGGGCCTGCAACGCATGCCGGGAAACACTCATCAGGGGTACCCACACGGTACAGGATTGGTCATAGCAGCGGGCCCGCAATGCATGCTGGGAACTGCCACCCTCACGGGCATGCCCAAAAGCTGGACTAGGCATAGCTCTGGGCCTGCAATGCATGCTGGGAAACGAGTCCTGCCCCACCCCCAACAACCCCCACGGCATGCTGGGCCAGGTATCCCGCTCAGGCAGCAATGCATGCTGGGAAATGCTACCCGTTCCAGGGGCCAGAGCTCACACTGGGGCAACATTTTCCTGCAGTACATGCTGGGATTTTCCTGCAGTGCATTGGCCGTGCAATACATGCTGGGAAATGGGAGCCTGGCCCGTCACCAGCGCGCTGGACCCATCTCGCTCACGCTGCAACGCACGCTGGGATATGCTCCTCTCGCCTCTCCACACAGAGACTCATACTTTCCCTTGGGCCTGCAATGCATGCTGGGCAAAGGCAGCTCCGCCCCGCCCCCGCCATCTTGCGCGGCCCCCGATGCATACAGGGAGCTGCCAGCCCGCCCCAGGTCCGCAATGTACGCAGGGAAGCGCCCCTCCCCTGGGCCCGCAAGGCACGCCGGGACAGCGCCGCGGGGCACTTACCGTCTCCCGGGGCCGTGGCCGCCTGCCCAGCCCGCTGCATCCCCCTGCGCCGCGCCGGGCCGGCACCATAGCAACCGCCTGCGTCACCCCGGGCCACTTCCGGGTCCTGCCGGTCCGCTTCCGCCGCCGCGGGGGTCACGTGACGCCATCACGTGTTCACGCTGTTAAAGGGGCAGCGGGGGACAATGCTTGCGGCGCTACCCCGGGCCCTGGCGCGGCTCGCGACAGCGGGAGGGTGGCGCGGCCGGGCCGCCATCATCTGGGCCGCGGGCCGGGGAGCGCGGAGCAGGGCGCTGCG